TTTCAGCACTCTCTCTACCTCTTCCCATCCTATCTTCTCTCCTTTCTCTACTTCCCCCTCCGACCCTGCTCTCCCTCCTCTCCTTCTCCTAGCCTTCGCTTGTATTCCGTTCCTTAATTCTAACATCTCCCTAAAGTATTTATCTCACTCCTCTATTGTTATCTTCTTATTAATTTCTACCCTTTTTCTCCTTTCCTTGATTATTATTTCCACACCTGCTTCTCTGTCCTCGCCTCTCTTACCTCTTCCAGCAGATTTCTCTTTTTTTCTTCCTTTTTCCTCTCACACATTTCTTTATACTTTTTCTTTCTTTTTTTATAATCTCCTTTTGTGTTTTTTCCTCTTTTCCAGTTTCTTAATAACTTTTCTATCTCCTCCCTCTTCTTCCTACAGTCCCCATCCCACCATACTCCATTTTTTTTCTGCTTCTCTTTTTACTCTTCTCACCCTTACTTCCATCCTAATTCTCTTTATCAACTTTTTGACCTCTTTATCTATTGCCCCCCCCCCCTACCTTTTTACCTCCACCATTCTTTTTCTAAACTCCTCTCTCGTTTCTTCCGACCAGTCCGTCTTTTCCACCCACCTCTCTACCTCCGCTATTGTCACTCTCCTCTCACCAACCCCCCTTTGTCCACCCGTACTGCTACTGATTGGTGCATGATCCGAATCTACCTAACCTCCAATCTTGTCATTCTTTCCAAGCCTTTCTATCTCCTTTCGCGTAATTGATCATTGTTTCCCCCCTTTCTCCTGTAAATTCACCCCTCCTTTGCTCCGTTCATAATTCCCCACCCTTCCTCTTCAACCCATCTAATCAACCTTTCCCCCTGCCTATTTATCATTTTATTTTTCGATTTTCTTTCAACTCCCTCTTCTCCATCTTCCAGCGCTCCTGTCTCCCCTGTTCTCGCATTAAAATCGCCCCCCACTATCCATCTTTTTTTTCTCCCTTTCTCCTCCTTCACCGATTTTATCTTACCCATTATCATGTTCAAGTTGCCGCTTACGTAAATTGTTGCCAATCTCCATTTCTCCTTCTTCCATCTTACTTCTCTAATCATTAAACCCTCCTCTTTTATCCATTCTTCTTCCTCTTCTAACCCCTTTCTGACTCCCATCATTATCCCACCTATTGCTCTTCCTCTTCTTCCAATTCTTTTTTTCTTTACACCCTGTATCCTTCAGTTGAACTCCTTTAGCACGTTATTTTTTATCTTCTCTCGTTCCTCCTATTTCAGCCGTGTTTCCACCAACCCCACGACATCCCACTTTTTTATTCTTTCCTAAAACCCTTCCCGTTTTCCCTTCACTCCCGCTACATCCCAAAAGCCTATCTTTGGGCTTCCTTTCTGTTCCTTCCCCTCCTCCTCCCTCCTGCATTCCTTTCTTCCCCCTCCCCCCTCTTCTTCCCCTCTTTTACTCCTTTTTACTTTCCACACTCTACTCTCTCTGACTCCTTTCTCCCTTCTCCTCAGCCTCACCACACTCTCTTCCTCCCTTCTCTACCTCTCTTCCTTCTTCTCTCCGCCCTCTCCTCTCATCGTTTCTCCTCCCTCCTCACTACCTTTCCATTTCATTTTTCCGTCTCCCTTTCTTCTACTCTTTCCCTTCTCCTCTGTTCCTCTTTCTCCCATCTCCTTTTTTTTATTTCTCTCTCTCATTTCCCCTTTAATCTATCAGGACTTTTTTCTTTATCCCAACTCCACCTTTTCCCTTCTATCCAAATCTTTCCGTACTTTACCCAATTTCTCCTTCTATTCCTTCTCTTTTTCTCAGCTATCCTCTCCAGGCTCCATTGCATTTTTCTTTGATGCTTTCCTTCAAGGTCATGTCATTCTTTATTCTTTTCATCCTCCCTTTCAACACATTCTTCTTCTGCATTGCTTCTCTTTTTCTTACTCTATCTTTTAACCTAACTAAAACCATCTTCTCTTTCCCCGTTTTTCTTCCTATCTCTTTTACCTCCTTTATTCCTCCTTCCTTCCCCATCTCTAGCCATAGCTTCTCTACCGCTTTCTTTCGCTTTCCCTCCTCTACCTCCACCCCTTTCATTACTACATTGTTTCTCCTTCTGTCTCTCTCTTCTAACTCTCTCCACCTTTTTAGCTCTCTTACCTTCGCTTCCATTGCTTTATCTCTTTTTTCTATCTCCCACTTTCCTTCCTTTTTCACTTCTCCCTGCCCTTCCTTCCTCCCATCTCTCCATCTCTTAACTAATATATTTAAATTTATATATTAGTTAACTTTTTTATATACACTACCGCTCATTAATTTCAATATACCCCTATATTTGTTAATTTCTCTGTAAAGGATGAACATGATACATATGTTTTGTACAGAAATGAATACATTTGCTGTTATAAACACTTGCATGTATTGCATTTTTATATATTATTTATATAAAAATGCGATGCATGCAAGTGAAATGTTTATAACAGCAAGTGCATTCATTTCTGTGCAAAACACGTATCATGATGTTCATCCTTTATAGAGAAATAAACGAATCTGTTGTATATTGAAATTAATGAGCGGTAGTATATATAAAGAAATTAACTAATATATAAATTTAAATATATTTGCAATATAATAAATATTTTTATAATATATTATACTTTTCTCTATATTGTTCCTTCTCTCTCCTTCTTTCTACTTTTTCTATCTCTATAATTTTTTCTCGTCTTAAAATACTTTTTACTTTTATATAAACAGCTTAAGGTATCGATACAATAAATAATACTATAAAAGCTACATTTGGATGGAACGGTAATAATTTACATATCCTACCTCATAATAACGTAATAAATGAGAACGATTCGTAGGAATAAATGTGATAGTATTTATGAAATAAAATTAAGTATGAAATGTACACATTTAAGAAATATTACTTTAATGATTATACTATCTTACGCGTCATTAACAGGCGAAGCAAATAGATGCTATGATATACAAGATACCTTTAAACAATTGTTTCATTTTCTAACATTTTTCAGATATACTGTAATATAATCGTATAAGCGTCATATTTTTTTTACACAGGAATACTAACGCAAAATTATTCGGACATTGTCGCTACTAAAATTAAAAAATCAGATGAAGGGTTAGGTAATGTACATATTTTTAATTCACATATTTCTCATTTACTACCGATCATCATTTCATAATAATACATTTGCAACGAAATAGATACGTCAGTACCCAAAACGTATATCTGTAATCTAAACACAAGTTTTTATATTCTGGAAACGATACAAGTGTCTTAAAATACTTTTTACTTGTTTCTAAGCAGCATAAAATATCGATACTATCCGAATAATATAAAAGCTGCATATGGATGGAACGATAACAATTTAGACACCCTACCTCTATAATTATGTTAAAATCGTCAGATATACTGTAATATAATCGTCATATTTTTTTACACAGAAATACTAACGCAAATTATTCGGACATTGTCACTAAAAAATTAGATGAAGATAGTTTGTACTCATACAAAGATACTGTTTAGTTAATGTACACATCTTTTTAATTCACATATCTTTCATTTACTACCGATCATTATTTCATAATGATGCATTTGCAACGAAATAGATACGTCAGCAACATTCGAAACCATCGACTGGAAAAAGCATTCTTCTTAGTCTATTCGTTGTGACGGATAAAATCGTATAATTTCAGCACTCAGCAGTGGATTCACTTCAATTGATGCCATTTTAAGACAGAGCCCATTTCAAAGAATTGTCCTTGTTGTTACTAATAAAGGCCATTTCAAAGAATAATCCTTGTTGTTACTAAATGTGCATACAAAGCCTGTGAATAGCGTTAATTTCCCTGCCATGCGCATATCTTTCTTTTTCGTGGCTGTATCCTGATTAGGCATCATCTTGTCCGCAATATGCTTATAGACTTTTCCATTCAGCATTAACTTAAAAAATAAAAAAGTCGTCGTACCATCTGAAATCGTTATATATAATTGTCTTGGTATTTGTTACGGAAATGGTTGCTGTTATCGACGTCGAGGATTGAGCGACGGTAATCTATCGACTGAGAGACCAGGGCGGCGTAGTCGTCGCGGGGGAGCGAGCGACACGGGTTCTGGCGCGCTTTTGTCATCTTGGTCGGTTGAGTCGTAGCGTGTGGTCGTCTCGTGAGTGGTGTGAGACTACTTTGGAATTGCCGGTACCGTGCGTACGACTAAGGGCAGCAACCTGCATTACAAGGGGCACCTTGCCATTGCCAAGTACCTAGCGTACAGTCAAAGGGCAGCTACAAGTATTTGCCGGTACCTTACTTGCGTACGATAGTGGGCAGCAACTTAAGAGAGAGAGAGAGAGAGAGAGAGAGAGAGAGAGAGAGAGAGAGGGCGACAAGTCGACAACACGCTTGTCCGCCTTTGCGAAGGTGCCCGGCTTGCGTTATATCCTTCCACCCGTCATTTCACTCCACACCTATACAGGTACGGTAAGGAGAGAAAACAATAATCCGGCTCTCCGATGCGTACGGTATTTCTGTATTAATAGCGAGCGGCTGTTCGCCATATTACAATCGCATATTGCAATCGGCAGGCAATCGCGACCATCGCCGTTGCCGAATAAGTATTATATATTAATGACATGATTCTAACAAAAGAGTATTTTAACGTGCATTGTAGACGATTACTCATATGTTCATTTATTTTAATGTTGATATCCTGATATTACGTTACATAATCTATGTATTGATATGTTTAATGTTATTTATTTTGCAATGTATGTGTGTGAATAAAAGTAGTTAACTTTGACTATTTATTTTGAAAGGTACGGTAAGCGACGCGGAACCAGAGTGAGAATTTAGTTATAACCTGAACATTTTATGGTCCTTCGAGCCGGATATCACCGCGTCAGAGCTTAAAGTTGTTTTCACGCTGAATTCTACATTGCAAGATAGAAAATATAGAAGGACGGATCGCTCTGCAACGGAGTCGATTTGCACTTATACAGAACGAGACGGATAAAGACAATATGAGTGCTGATCGATCGAATCGACATCTGATCAGTGCTCGCCTGGATATGCTTGAGCAGAATTGGAATAAATTTCAAGAAAAGCATGAAAACCTATGCCTATCCGCCAGCGAGGATCTGAGAGACCATTCTTACTTGAGAGAACGCATATACGAACGCTGTCAAGCCTTCTATGTTTATGCTCGTGCCATGTTATTCACCCAGCTAGAAGAATTTGATACAGCGGATCGACATTCCAGATCGTCGCTTTTAGATCAAGGGGCGTCCCCACCGCCACAAGGGGCTTCCACACCGCAACAAGGGGCGTCCACATCGCAACTGCCACGCAGTGCATTACCGCGCATTCAGCTGCCGATTTTCTCCGGAGACTACCCAACCTGGAGAACGTTTCATGACACTTTTACCTCTATGATAAAATATAACTTGCATCTGACGGATGTCGAAAAAATGCATTACCTGAAAACATGCGTTAAAGATGAAGCCGCACGAATGATAGGCAATCTGTCTGTCTCCGGCGACAACTTCTTAATTGCGTGGACTTTGTTTGGTATCGAGGTATGAGAATACACGATTTTTGATCGAGGCGCAATTAGACAAGATAACGAGTCTGAAGCCACTCAAGACGAAGAATGCAATAGGCCTTCGAAATTTTATGACCACTGTATCGGAGACGACTGCGGCTCTTCGCTCACTGGGATGTGCGGTAGATAAATGGGATCCGTTATTGCTTCACCAAGTCGTGAAGTTGCTTGATCTTGAATCACGAGAAGCATGGGAGGTCAAGCAAGGATCCTCTACTACTTATCCAACCCTCGAACAATTTGAGGAATTTCTCACTGGACGAACACGAGCTATGGAGAATCTCAATCCAAATATGACTCAAAGACCGTCGGCTGCTTCCACTTCAGGAAAACCTTATTCGAAGGTCGCGGCGCATACCGCAGCGTCTGCTTGCCCTTTATGCGGATCATTGCACTATCTAGCAAAATGTGAACGTTATCAATCGAAGACGGCTAAACAGCGTAAGGAGATTGTCATCAGACATAAAAGATGCTTCAATTGCCTCGCACTTCACCTAGTTAAGAAGTGCACCTCCGTGACGCGATGCCTAAAATGCGGGAAAAAGCATCATACGACTCTTCACGAGAATCAACGAGAAACTTTAACCACACCTACTAGTACGCCGGCAAAACCGGCCAATCAATCTGAGGAGAAGTCAGATCCATCAGTAACTATTGACTGACAATTAAAGACATGTGCACACCAAACCGAACAGGCAAATCGTACGAGAAAGCTTACTTTACTTGCGACGAGTAGAGCTTTGGTAAGGAAGAGTAACGGGAATTTCCATCCGGTGCGTTTATTGATCGATCAGGAATCAGAGTTATCTTTCATCACGGAAGATCTAGTGCAACGAGCCCAACTCACTAGGACGGCCGCATCAATACCGCTTCTCGGAATTGGTGGCACTTATTCCGGACATACAAAGGGGAGTGTTTTCATACAACTGCACTCCATTCATGACTCAGCGTTACAATGTCAAATACGAGCCTTCATATTGCCACGTCTTACGGCGAAGTTACCATCGTGCAGCGTTAGTGCTCCAACCTGGCCTCATATTTCAGGACTCCAGTTAGCCGATCCGGAATACTACGTCTCTGGAACAATACAGGTCATAATAGGATCAGACAATTTTCATGGCGTGATACGACAAGGCATGATACCAGGCGATTCTTCCTCGCCTACGGCGGAGCAAACCATCTTCGGATGAGTCCTTTGTGGCCCTATGTCAGCAGCCGAGACACCTGTTTCAGCGCATGCACATCATTGTTCACCGGATCAAGAATTACAAGATCTTCTTTCCAGATTTTGGACACAAGAAGAAATTCCTAAGTCGACTACAGCAGAGTTAACTGAGGAGGAAGAGGAGTGCGAACGACACTTTCTAACGACCTATTCACGAGATGCAACGGGCAGATATGTGGTTCGCCTCCCTCTAAAAATCAATCCGTCGGTTTTGGGGGACTCTAAAGCAAAGGCTCTCGGTTGTCTTAAGAACCTGTTTCAACGATTCTCAAATCAAAGTACTTTTCAACAACTTTACGGAAACTTTCTAGATGAGTATTTGAAGATGGGTCACATGAAAGAGGTTGACGCCTCCTCCGATCAGACTTCTGTGGTGAATTATCTCCCACATCATGGGGTACTACGAGAGAATAATCGAACCACAAAACTCAGGGTGGTTTTTAACGGATCCAGCCCTACCAGCAATGGCCTCTCGCTAAACGATATTCTACACGCCGGTGCCAAGCTTCAAATTGACATATGCGATATTCTGCTTTGGATACGTACCCATAAGGTTCTCTTCTCTACGGATAGTAAGTATAGTTAAAATGTTCCGTCAGATAGCTGCACCAGGACGATTGGAACCTACAGAGAATATTATGGATCGGATCGGAACAACAGCTTCTCGCCTACTGCCTTACCACAGTGACATACGGACTACGATGTGCACCCTTCTTGGCGTTGAGAGCTCTAGAGCAACTGGTGAAAGAGGAAGGTCATCGTTTTCCTAAAGCGATCATTCCTATGAAGAAGGGCAGATTCGTCGACAACATTTATGGAGGATCTGATACGACATTAGAAGCTAAGGATATTATACAGCAAGTGAAGGGGCTTTGCGAAGCAGGAGGATTTCCCTTGCATGAATGGAGTAGCAACTATCCTGATCTTCTCCCTAACTCGGAAGAAGGGGGACCTACCGACATAGAAATCGATCCTACCTTTTGCAAGCTTCTGGGTCTCGTTTGGGGCCATTTTCTGACACTCTGCATTTTTTTTCCACAGTTCCAGGCAATATCACCTTCACGAAGAGAGCAATTGCCTCGGACATAGCCAAGTTGTATGATCCTCTAGAGCTGATTTCGCCTATTATAATAAGAGCGAAAATCATATTGCAGGAGCTATGGCTGTTGAAGACTGGATGGGACGAGCTGATTCCTGTCACTTTACAAGAGAGATGGACTGCGTTTCGACAACAACTATTACAGCTCGAACCCCTCTCTATACCGAGATGGCTCGGTGTTTTTCGTTGCGATACTTCGAGGATTGAAATTCATGGATTTTCGGACGCATCTCAACTAGCCATGGCGGCGGCGGTGTACATAAGGATTCCGAATGGCGACAATACATTTTCAGTACAACTGGTGTGCTCAAAGACCAAAGTTGCGCCTTTTAAGCGGCTCACCATTCCGCGACTTGAGCTTACTGCAGCTCTCCTCCTAGCGCGATTAATAGCAAAAGTGGTAAAAGCTCTCGAGTTACTCGAAGCACTGGTATTCTGTTGGTCAGATTCAGAGGCAACGATTAAGTGGATAACTGCTAACCCATCGCGCTGGAAGGATTTTGTTAGGAATTGCGTGTCCGCCATACAAGAACTTTTGCCCAATGGATCGTGGCGTTTCGTACCGGGCAAACAAAACCCCGCTGATCTTGCAACACGAGGCCTAAAAGCGGATAAACTGTTCCACCTTGACCTTTGGTGGAAGGGACCAAAATGGTTATCCGAATCGCAAGCTTCTTGGCCTTATACGGAATACAGATCGACATCAGACATAGATATGGAGGAGCGTCCTGGTTATGTTATGAATGCTTTAGTAAGTCTGCCTCCATGCTGGGAGCTATTACGCAAGTATTCCTCTCTTACTAGATTACTGCGTGTCACTGCGACATGTCGCCGATTTGTAAACTGCTTGCGTAAAGTAACTCAGTCTTCTCCTTCTAATTATCCATTAACTCCAATTGAGATCCAGCAAAGCCGTGATTTATGGGTGCGAATTGTACAACGAACATGGTTCCACAAGGAGATACGACTCTTAGTTAAAGGAGAACGGTTACCAAAGTCAAATTTCTTGAATCGACTCACTCCATTTATCGACCGGGACGGTCTGCTTCGAGTAGGTGGCCGTCTTTATTTTGCCCAGATTGATATGGAAGCCAAGCACCCGTTTATTCTACCTAGGAGGTCACCATTGACCACGCTCGTCATTGAAGATACTCACAGAAGATCACTTCACGAAGGCACCCAAGTGACTTTGAGCCTCCTGCGTGAGAATTTCTGGATAATTGGCGGAAGGGCGCCAATACGATCCCACATATTAAGATGCGGACGTTGTGTTCGGTACCGCGGCATTCGAGCAAAACAAATGATGGGCCAACTTCCCTCCGTAAGAGTGAACCCAGCGAGGCCCTTCTCCCATTCAGGCCTCGACTATGCCGGACCCGTGACGTTGAAGACGTGGAGAGGGCGGGCAGCAAAGTCCTACAAAGGCTACTTGGCTATATTCGTCTGCCTCGCGACATCTGCCGTACACATCGAAGTAGTTACGGATTATACTACATAAGCGTTTATAGCTGCCTACAAACGCTTTAGCGGAAGACGAGGTATATGCTCCATCTTGTGGAGTGACTGCGGTACAAATTTTATGGGAGCCAACGCTGAGTTGAAACGTCTATTTCAACACGAACTTGGTGACATCGCCTCCCTTCTGGCTAATGACGATACCGAGTGGAGGTTCAACCCTCCATCTGCTCCTCATTTCGGTGGAAAATGGGAAGCGGCTGTGAAATCAGTTAAATTTCACCTGAAACGAGTCCTAGGGGAGAAAGTCCTTACCTATGAGGAGATGACCACTATCACTATACAGATTGAGGCCGTATTAAACTTTCGACCTCTTTGTCCGTTCAACGACGATGTCAACGACTATGCCGCTTTAACTCCAGGGCATTTTTTGATGGGACACGCACCGACTGTCATACCGGAACCCAATCTAGCTAATGAGCCCCTGTCACGACTTACTCGTTGGCAGTTACTTCGCCAAACCGTAGAACACTTCTGGACGAGGTGGTCCTCGGAGTGTTTGCAGCGATATCAAGCCATCTCTAAGTGGCACCATCCTACTAACGAAATAAAAGAGGGTTCACTAGTTTTGATTACAGATGAGCGCTATCCTCCTGGAAAGTGGCCTCTCGCCAGGGTCACCCAATTGCACCCTGGACCCGATGGTTTGACCAGAGTCGTCACCCTGCGAACTTCAACGTCCACCTACAAACGACCTATAGCCAAGCTGTGTATCCTACCTACGGACCCTGACCCAACGTATTCGACAATTCTCTTGTCGAAGGCGGGCAGGAATGTTACGGAAATGGTTATGTAGAAAACGAAAGGTTTCAAGTTTAAATCCTGATCGGCTCTGTCAATTTTTCCGTTTACCCCTTTCGCTGTCCAAAATTTCCATCCGTATCTTTTCTCCACCCTCACTACACTCCTTGTTTTCTCGTATATTTCCATGATTTTCTTTTCTAATCTCTCACTCACCCCTAGATCTTTCAGACATCTTCCAAAAACCCTCCTATCCACTGAATCAAATGCTGCCCTTGGATCTACAAAAGCAACCACTACCTTCTTTTTCCTCTTTAATCGCTTCCTTATCGCATAATTCAGTGTGAAAATGTTGTCCACCACTCCTCTCCTCTTCCTAAACCCTGCTTAGCTTTCTGGGATCATCCCCTTCTCCACCATCTCTTCCCTCAACCTATCTGCTAATATCGACGCGTCCCTTTATGCTCACTCACCTCTTTTGCCCCTCTTTTTCGCTATCGGAACGACTACTCCGTTCTTCCACGCCTCTGGAAAACCCTCTTCTTTCCATACTCTCCCATAACGCCTTTCTTAAACCACTTCCCCCATAACTCCACACTTTATTTCTTATCTCGTCCTCTTCCGCCGCTTTACCTTTTTTTAGCCCTTTCAGCACTCTCTCTACTTCCTCCCATCCTATCTCCTTCTTTTTCTCTACTTCCCCCTTCGACCCCTGCTCTCCCTCCTCTCCTTCTCCTAGCCTTCGTTTGTATTCCATTCCATCTAAAATCTCCCCAAAGTATTTATCCCACTCCTCTAATGTTATCTCCTAAATAATTTCTACCCTTTTTCTCCTTTCCTTGTTTATTACTTCCCACACCTGCTTCTCTGTTCTCGCCTCTCTTGCCTCTTTCAGCAGATTTCTCTTTTTTTTTCTTTTTTCCTCACACTTTTCTTTATACTCCTTTCTTCTCTTATGATTTTCTTTGTGTTTTCTTCCTCTTTTCCAGTCTCTTAATAATTTTTCTATCTCCTCCCTCATCTTCCTACAGTCCCCATCCCATTATACTCCTTTTTCTTCTGCCCCTCTTTTTACTTTTCTCACCCTTACTTCCATATCTTAATTCTTTTTGTCAACTTTTCGACCTCTTTATCTATTGCCCCCTACCTATTTCTACCTCCTCCGTCCTACTTCAAAACTCTTTTCTTGCCTCTTCCGACTAATCCGTCTTTTCCACCCACCTCTCTTCCTCCGCTATTGTCCCTCTTCTCTCACCACCACCCCCTTTGTTCAACCATACTGCTACTGATTTGTGATCCGAATCTACCTCACACCCCACCTGTAATCTTGTCACTATTTCCCAA